TCAAAAATGCTGTATAAATGCTATGCCAATGTGCACATTGTGTAGATACATTTATAATTGTACATCCTTTTGTGAAGAATTTGGAAGACCCAGACTTGATGGCACACAATCATTCAATCAGTCATTTCCAAGATGTAAATTCAAGATCCCCCCCCCCAGTTCTCATCTGAGCCAGGAGCCTGTGAGCTTGGGGATTTGTAGTTCCAGAATTGAGAAGAACCACTTGATCTTGAATGATAGTCAAAGGCTGACATCAGTTGCAACTTTTGGTAATCAACGCCTTTAGCCCCCAATTGTCATTTTAAGAGTCTGAGTATTTAAGCTCAGAGCTGTAGAATTTGGATTTTCTTGCTTTTCTATCCTGCTTTTTGGTAGCATCAGGCTCAAAGTAAGAAAAACCCCAAAGCTTTTGCATATTCTTTTATGTCATTTTAATTAATCCTAATAAAGGCATAATACAACTGTGGAACGTAGACTTCTGTTTCCTGATAATGGGCAGGAAATATGGATGAATGTGTCTCCTTGACTCTCTCCACATGAACTTTCAACCCCCTATGGAGAAGGAGGGAAGGGAAAGGTTTTGTCTGATGAGTTTTTAAAATGAGAGTTAAAAACTGGGAAGAAGGCTTAGGAAATTTTGAATCTGGAGTCCTAATGACTGGGGTGAAAGTAGGAGGCTGAGATTTGCAAAAGTAGTGATTGGGAGAGTACTATGGTTCTGCATATGTTCTCCATTTGTTTCTGCATTTGGAGAGTGTTTCTTTTAAGGCTTACGATGCAGTTTTGTATGTTTATTGCATCCAAATGGCAGAAGTTGATTTCACCAGTTTGGGGGCATAATTAAGCAAACTGGGAGCTACCTAACCTGAGCAAAAAGTCTGGATGTAACTTCCAAGATTTCTTTCTGGACTCTTCTATAGCTCTGTGTGCCAGGGATTGAATGTATAATCTTCTTAAAAACTAAACAGCATACTGAGAATGATGGCCTTTCCCTAAAAGGGGCATTCGCATATAATTAGCACGTTTGTGAGTTACATTTATCTTGTTTTTAGTAATGCATGTAAAAGTGCCTTGACCTAGGAATTACTTAGCTGCTGGCTTCTCTTTTATAATATGAGCCTAAAATTATTATGTTAATCATTTTTATATTGTGTGATTTTGGAAGATTACATGCAGTGGTGGGATTCAGCCGGTTCGCACCACTTTGGCAGAACCGGTAGCTAATTTTTTGTTGCCCAGGCCCCGAATGGACTTCCGGAAGTGGTATCCACACAGAGAACTGGTTGTTCACATATTTGAATCCCACCACTGATTACATGGTATTTTTTAAGATTATTAAAAGCTGGGATTCTTTCAATAATGTCAAATACGTAATTGTCTTTCATTTTGTATGCACATAGCTTCTCTCTTCAATATTCCCTGCCCTTGAATCTAACATGGGGAAAAAGAGGTTCCTCCCCTAAGAAAAAGGAATTGACTTGCATCTATTCTCATCTGCAGGATGTCTTGACATGCTAAGTATAGAAGGGCAGTTCACCTTCACCACAGACCAACCCCAGATGCATTGTGCCACATTCTTCATAGGAGAACCAGAGGAGTTCATCAGCATAGATTTTGATTTTGTCAACATTGACTGTCAAGCTGGAGACTTCTTGAAGGTATGAGGTTGTCCGCAGACTGAAAGTTGCTATATCAGACAAAGGTGAAGGAATTCACACCACAAGTTAACTTTTCTTTTATAAAAAAAAAACCAGGATATAGTTGGCACTAGTAAAGTCAAAAAATCAAAATAGAAGGTAACGATTCAGACGTTCGCTTTTGAGGTTTCCAAACATGGTGGGTGGAATGAGGTTGGCTTTGGGTCCAAAATCCCTCCTCTACAGTCTGCGTCTGGTAGCCTTGCTACTTAGTATCATAAATTTTATTTTATTTTTTTATTCATTTCAGTTACATCTTGTTTTCAAGGATACCCACACTTTCCCCTTTTTTCATTTTCTTCTAGCAGCAAGCTTGCCAGTTAGACTAGCAGTTGTGGCTGGGTAAAAAATTAGACTCATCAGTTGTAGCTCAACCCTCAACCATTATACCACAATGTCTTTCATAAGTTTGAGATTCAGAAGGGAATATTTTACTTTTAATAATTAAATTAAGTATTTAAATATTTTTAGGTTGCTAACAAAGAATAAAGAAAGAACTGGGATAGCTATTTTGAGATTCTTAACTCTCTTCAGCCAGACTTACTCTTCTGAGATTCGAACCTGGGCTATATGCATGTTAGGCAGTTGTATTAACCTCTAGGCCACAAGCTCTTTCTCACTTTGTCAGCTGTATCATACATATTTAAGTATGTAGAGATAAAATATTAACAAAACATTATTAGAATTTCTGCAGCCAATAAACATAGAAATAAAGAAGGAAGCTGATAGCCCACAGAAGATATGGTTATGGGAAAGATACCATACATTTATCATAATACTTTATACATTGGCCAGAGTTTAAAGTATTGCAAGAAACTTTGTTCTGTTGCTACAATAGATGGAGAGAACTTGCTATCCTTTGGGTGTTGTTACCTTAGCATATTATCTGGAGAAATAATTGCATTTTCTAGGATAAAATGCAGCATAGGAAACCATCACCTCTTTACCCAAAACATAACCCTGAAGTGAAGTCCAACCTGTAGATCAGTGGTTCTCAACCTGTGGGTCGGGACCCCATTTGGGGTCGAACAACCATTTCATGGGGGTCGCCAAACAATGCAGTCCGCCATTTTTTTCCCCTTTTCCTTAGCTGTGCTACTCCCTTTTATTCTATTGGCTTTTGAAAGCCAATAGAATAGACTCTCTTGAATAGAGTCTAATTCTATTGGCTTTCAAAAGCCAATAGGAATTGTCCAGGCTGTCTCTGCCCTGCTGAGCCCGCCAAAAGTCCCATTCTGCAAACGGTGCTGCACCAGTTGAGTAGTCCTCGACTTACGACCGGTTGAGTAGTCCTCGACTTACGACCGGTTGGGGGTCGCGGCATTAAAAAGGTTGAGAACCACTGCTGTAGATCATGTGAGGCCCCAAACCCAAGAATGGCACATGAGTCTTCCAAGCTGAGTTCTTTATTGGTTCCACCTATAGACAGAATCTTGCCAAACTGAGGCTCTCTACTATCTACATTTACCAAATACTCTGAAAACTACTAGGGAGGGGCTTCACCCTCTTTCTTTCACACAAAATATCTGGACTGGGTTGTCTCTTATTCCTGTGTAATGCATCCCTTCCCACCTGGGGATCCCTTCTACTATATTCCATCACAGATAACCACTATACACCATGCATTTGTGGCTTGAAAAATCAAGTGTCTGCCTTGTCTTTAAATGGAATTTATTAGCAATTCCTAAGAGAATATAATTAACACTAAGGTCAAAACATTTGTTTCTTTGACTTCATGTAATATGAACATTTTAATTTCCTTGGATCTGGAACATGAAGGATCTCACATGTTTATTTGAAGAACAAAGGAATGATTAGAACAAAAAGCAGTCATTTTTATTCACCTTTAAAAACATTAAGTATAAAATTACCACTCTGCAAAGCCAAATTATAGTTGCATAGTTTTTATCTCCAAGAATACCACTAGATTTCACATGGGCCCTGGGGAAATTGAAAGAAAACATGATAGATGGCCATAGCCCAAAGTTTTGCTTCTCTACCTGGGTGCCAGAAATCAGAATTAAATTGGTCAGTGAAAGATTGTCCGGAAGGTGTAAGGGTGATAGCTGGTATTTTCACCACATTCCTTTTTGGTAGTCATTTTGTGAGAATGCCTAAAACATGGTTTCAATATTCCAAAAGTGTTTTCTAGCTCCCAGAGTTTAGGGACCTCAACTGGAGTGTATGCATAGTTGGCTGCTCAGCTCAAGAATGCTTGAAAGGAATGCAGGGTCTCTAGAGCTGGAGTGAGCTACAACTGATGAGTCTAATTTTTTACCCAGCCACAACTGCTAGTCTAACTGGCAAGCTTGCTGCTAGAAGAAAATGAAAAAAGGGGAAAGTGTGGGTATCCTTGAAAACAAGATGTAACTGAAATGAATAAAAAAATAAAATAAAATTTATGATACTAAGTAGCAAGACTACCAGACGCAGACTGTAGAGGAGGGATTTTGGACCCAAAGCCAACCTCATTCCACTCACCATGTTTGGAAACCTCAAAACTGAACGTCTGAATCGTTACCTTCTATTTTGCATGCTGCATATTGATCACTCCACTTCAAGTTTAAACGTCAGGTTTAGAAATGTGTCTTTCATAATTAAGCCCAATTATTAAAACATCTGAAGTAGAAAATACAGAGAATGTCAGAGTAATTATTATTGGTGCATGAAGTGATGACTTATAATAGATGTTAACGCCAAGTCATGTGTGCAGCAGTTTGGTGAAATTCTTGAATTGGCATGAGATATAAGAGAGGTCCAAGCCTACAAAACATTCTTTCTAGAATAAAAAGAGTCAGTCTCTTTTTACTTCATTAGCTAGTATTATACTCACTAAAAGGAATAATCTGAGAATGAGAACATGCATGTTCTTATCCACATTTAATGAAATCCCAATAATGAGATGCCAATAATACCAGTAATATGAACAATAACAATCAGTCCAATTATGAACAATATGTTTGGATTTAAAACTTAATATGAAACATGATGAACAAAGAATTTACTTTAATAGACAAATTGTCTTGGTTTTGGAGATAGAAGAATATCTTCAGTCTGGAAATTGCAGTTTCAGTAAATATGGAAAGATCAAGATGAGGAAACCTGATATAAATCTGAATTCTCTTCTGTACTCCTACATCCCTCTAGGTTTTTGATGGCTGGATTCTGAAGGGTGAGAAGTTTCCTAGCTCTTTGGATCATCCTCTCCCCACCTCTGAAAGGTATAGAGATTTATGTGAAGCTGGAGCTAGCCTGACCACCATCAGGTCATCTCAGAATGTTGCCATGATCTTCTTCAGGATTCAGGATGCAGGGAGTGGATTCACATTAACAATAAAGAAGCAGCCTAATCTTTTCCGTAAGCTTGTTTTTGTTTTATCTTCTGAAATGGCTGTGATTTCTTAGAAGAACAATAGTGTAGTCAAGCTGTGATAAAATAAAGAGGAATAGTATAGGTACTGATGCAGCAAAGGTTCAATCAGCTTGACTATGTTTTCTTGCCCACAATAGAGGCATGCTTCTCTAAACTTTTTCTGACTTCCTAGTCTACTCTACCAGCCTTGAAATTTTCTGGCAGTCTCTCATTCAAACACTATCCAGGTTTACCCCTCTGTTTTTTTATTTTCATTTTTAAGAACAACCATAATTGGCTAAGTCAGTGGCTCTCAATCTTTGGTCTGCGGAGCCCTGGGGGAGGGTCTGTGATGTCATCACAAGGGGTCTATGAAGGTTTGAAGAAATGTTATGATTTAAATAATGAATTAAGTCTTGGGGGTCTGTGACCATGATCCATGGCCACAAAAGATATTTAAAGAGGGTCCATAGTTGAGAAAAGGTTGAGAACCACTGGGCTAGGTGCTGCAACTTAACTGGGCAAAGGTACTGATTGCTGGGCCATGATCAAATAACAATGGAGGGCCCTTATTCTGGCTCTTTAGGCATGATTTGGCATAAGCATTTAGAAATCATTGAAGTCATTAAAAAAGTAGAACTGTTCCCTGAAGGTACAATAAGAGCATGCAAAGAGAAACTAAAGAGAATTTGGTTGAGTTGGGCAGCTATAAAATTTGAATGAATGAATGAATATTAATGACCACAAATGATTTAACAAAAGCAGCAACAAAATGATTTCCCTCTGTCCTTCCTAAAATTAGACTAAAATGAGGAAAGCTTAAAGTAAGTACACTTGCAAGATTCTCTTATATAGCCACTTTCAATAAAAGTAGCTTTAGCCTTTATAGGGGGTTGATTTTTGAGTCTGGTTTTCATCATGGGGTTGAGTGTGCCTTTATAAGATGCATTTATATGGCATAAAAAGGTTGGCAAATTGACTGACTTTTTTTTTTAAAAAAACCTTTCTCCTATTCTGCCAATGTGGGAACCATTTAGGTCTGATGCTGAGAACACTTAGGTACGAACACTGGAAACTATTTGCCACTATGGATTTTTTCCCCCTACTAGATGACATAGCATCTTCAGTGTTACTTCAGTAAAACAGGCCAATAAGCAATGGTTATTTTCTGTTGCTTCCAGTATTATATTTGCAACCCTAAATTGAAAAACTCATGCCTGATTTTTGAATGGGAGACACTGTTGGAAGACCTCAGCCCAGCTGATTAGCATCTTATCTGTGTTAGTGCCAAGACCTCAGATAAAAAGTCTGCATTCCTTTTTAGTGAACAAATTGTGACTCAGTAATTCTGTATCTTCCCCTGTACTAAAGCTTGCAATATCATCTCCCAGACTCCTAGTGGAAGGTTTACAATGATTGTTCCTCATCAGCATCGGAACTGCAGTTTTTCCATTATCTATCCAACATTGATAAAAATATCTGATCTTAGCCTGGGGCATCTGAAGGGCTTTCACTTGAAGGTGAGTTGTCAGTTTCTTCCTTATACATCTGCTACATGGTTACACAATTCAGCAAATGTGCTGCTAGTCTTTGTGGCCACATCTGGTCTTTTTTTCTATTTGTTCCTTGCCTCTTTATTTTTATGCCAGAACCATTTGTCTGATACTAACTCTGGAAGGCAGTACCCATCTGTGGATTTTGAACATTCCATCCTCCTGTTCAGCACAGGTCAAAAAGAAGGACAAAATGTTTTCTGAGACACAGGCATTTTCTGAACTATATTCTTGCATATGAGGAGATCTCCTAGTTCAGGGGTAGGCAACCTTGGCTCTTTTATGACTCGTGGACTTCAACTCCCAGAATTCCTGAGCCAGCCATGGACAAACCCATAAAGTGGTTATTTGGTTTTGACTTAGCATGATGTTTAAGTAATTATTACTTATTCATGTTAGGTAAAAAATTCAATGGGACAAGGACAGCCATTGTTCATTACATCCTGGCTCCCAAAGCTTCTATCATTCGTGAACTCTACATTTAGAATAGAGTCATCCCTCTGGGAAGCAAAACCTTTTTAAAAAGAGAAATCTTAAAAAGCTTCTTGAATTTTTATGCCCTTATGTGATATTTCATTTAACACTCATTTGCATGATGTTTATCGAAACTAGCAGATTCTTTTATTTCCTTTTGTGTGAGTTGATTTTTGCTAGGATCTCTGGGAGTGCAGGGAATCTGAATGACAATCTTTGCGCTATCTCCTTGCTTGTAACAGCAATGGCAAACTTTTTGGGCTTAGTTTGTCAAAAATTCAGAAAATGCTGAACTGAACTTTGCTAGCCTGTCACCCCCACCCCAGACAAAACAGAAACAATTCATAACAAAGAGTCACTTTGGATAGTGAAATGGGAGGCATACCTGTGTTTCCCCGAAAGTAAGACCCAGTCTTATATTATTTTTGCCTCCAAAAGAGGCATTACGTCTTATTTTCGGGTGGTGTCTTATATTTTTTGTGACATCTGCCTTGCCTCGTGGCAGCGGCACCAACAGCCCCATCCAGCAGGAGCCCACATGGCTGCTGGCCCACTTCTGCTGTGACCTCCCGCAGCAGGAGGCAGTGCGGCACATTGCTCCTCTGCCACCACAATGACACAAGGCAGGTGGCGGAGGGGTGAAGCTGTCCCATTTACCCCACACCCGCTTCCTTCAGGCGCCTCCCAGCCAGGCCATTCCTTGCTCCCTTTCACTCCCCTCCTGAGCCGGACTGCCATGCTACCCTAAGGTGGATGGGCGGGGAGGCCTGGTCCCCCTCCGCCATTTTGGAGCCAGGAGGGAGTGACAGCAAAAGGCTCCACTGCTGCTGTGTGCCGCTGGAGGGGCTTTCTTCACACTCCACCCCACAGATCACCTGTATGGCGGCAGCCGCAGCTTCCTTCTCCTCCGCCAACTCTCCCATGGCTTGCACCATGACTGGGCGGCACAAGCCCCCCCTGCCACCTCTCCACATAGCAACAGTGGATCCTTTTGTCGTCACTTCCCCCTGGCTCCAAAACGGCGGAGGGGGACCAGGCCTACCCCGCCCATCCTCTGTAGGTTAGCATGGCAGTCTGGCTCGAGAGGGGAGTGAAAGGGAGCAAGGAATGGCCTAGCTGGGGGGGACCTGAAGGAAATGGGTGCGGGGCATGTGGGACAGCTCCACCTCCTCCACCTGCCTCTCCTCGTTGTGGCAGCAGCAGTACAATGTGCCATGTGGCCTCCTGCCCCATTGCGGCAACCAGGTGGGACAGAGTGGGTGGGGTCCTAATTAGGGCTTATTTTTGGAGTAGGGCTTATATTAGGCCCACAACCAAAAATTAGGGTAGGTCTTTTTGGGGGGTGGGGTTTATTTTGGGGAAAATACGGTATCAATTTAAGACACATCCTGTACATAATAATTGTTTGGGGTTTTTTTTGATTCTCAGAAAAATCTGAAGCAGCTCCAGATCACACTAAGTCTGGAAACTAAGGAGAATGCTCTTGCATGTCTTTGCAGTCTCTGAAAATAGCGGGAAAGCACACCCTGTTGTTGCTCATTTTTTGGAGGCTCCAGAGGTTGAGCCTTCTTGTGTGACTTCCAGAGGGTCCAAAGGTCACGTGAGAGCATATCACATTCTTGTGCAGCCTCTGAAAATCAAGTGAGAACTTCCTACACTTTTTGGTTGCAGAGGCTGCATAAGAAATGTAGTGTGCTCTCTCATAGCCTCCAGACCCTCTGGAAGTTGCACAAGAGGACTGTGCTCTCACACAGCCTCTGGAGCCTCTAAAAATTGTGTGAGAATGTTCTTGCATGGTTCTTGAATGCTTCAAAGGCCCCTCAAGAGCAGGGCCTTCTCATGCAACTTTCAGAGGGTCCAAAGACTACAATCTCACGTGGCTCTGTGCATGTCAGGAAAAATGACACCGCCTATTACTTGTGTCATGCGTGCCATAGATTTGCTATTGCTGGCTTATAGCAATCTTTATGAGTTCTCAGTATTTTGAAGCTGTGAAGATGAATACAATTCTACCCTGAACTACTTTGAAAGATTGAAAGAGAACTTCATTAATCAAAACTAAAACACACATTATTATTTTGCATAATCTTCTAAATCTCATTTACTAAAATAAACTTGCATTTTAAATTATCTATTTAACATGATTCCATGTCCTTCTGCTTTTCCTTGTACACAGAAAACAACTGCAGGTTGCAGAGGCACTGGAGATTTTATGGAGTTGCTGGGAGGAAATGGGTTAGACCCTTCCAAGATGCTTCCATTGGCTGATCTTTGCCATTCTTTCAGTGGCCCTGGTAATCTCTTGTGCTAATGCTTCTTGTTCAAATATTTTCTCAAAGTAATATAATAGGGCTATCATATCTGTAAAATGTCAGATAACCTTTAGAGGGCAGCAAAAAGGAAGGCTATTCTCTGTTTTCATCTAATAGACATCCAGATTTTGGCACTACAGTATAGACATTATAAATATAAAAAAGATAATTATGTAAACTAATTGCTTGGGATTTTTGAGCTTTCTAGTAAAAAAAGCATGACAAAGTGTATTGAAGAAAAACAGCTTTTCTGCTATTTATCTGCATTCTAATTTATGCCATTGTGGTCTGTTTAATCAAGCTCATGGCTTCAGATGCACTGCAGCTGCAACTGCCAAAAAGTTTTTTTTGCAACAAATCTAGACAACAGTCAGAATGTGGAAGGTCATGCATTTTTTGTGTTAAGGAATGAAGATTTTCCAATAAGGAATGATATTTTTGTACAAATTTCTTTTCATGACAGAGATTAGTACAGGGGACTAGCAATGAGTATTAAAAAAAAAGGTCTTGTAAAAAAGAGTTTTGCTTAGCTGGCGACCAAGCCCTGAGTGGGTATCAATCAGTGTCATCACTGCTATGTGCAGATGGTCTCACAAATACCATACAGCAAAGTGGGAAACTTGAAAACACACAGGCTTTATGTAGCCCCCAAACATCTCTTTTGCTATTCCATGCCTACCCTGTCTAATCACAATTGTCAAAAATTATTTGGTCCCTTCTTGAGTCAGAAAACAC